TCAAGCTATCTTTCAAAACGTGCTAACATTCTTGTGTTAACTCATTTGATGCTAAAACATTTGGGTCTTGTTAACTGTCTCTTTGAATAAGCTTTAATAGACTTCTCACACAAACTACATATAATATAGAGACTATATAATTTCCTTTTCAAATTTGCAGCAAATGTAACATTTTCCTTTATTGCACACCTCTTATTTTCATTGTCAACTCTTTGAACTCTGAAAGTCCAAGCCTTAAGTCAAAAAAGTATGAGAATCCATGTCCACACTTTAAAAACGACTAAGAATACAAGGCTGTAAACTACTCTAAACACTGAAAGAACAATCTAAGTATTTCTATAGCCTTCACCCCTGGAGTACTCCATTTCTTTGACAAAGCGACTATTATTGCAAAAAGTCTAGTGAAGTTCATGAGTTTCACTTATCTCAAGTTGAGAGAATGAGTTAACTTGGACCTTAGCGTTCACTATAAACACTAGAGATGTAATATATGGGCAAATGCCAGAGAGTCTAATTTAAGGCATCAACGTAAAAATAGTAACAGTTACCATTTATGCAAAACCTGTGGTGCACTGGCACTATGCTAGGCCCTTCACAGGCCTTGTTTCAGGATTACAGTCTAATTCCATGAGGTGAGTACTATTGGAGCCTTCATTTTACAAACAAGAAGACTAAGGTTGAGGAATTAAGTAAACTGTAAAGGTGGAAATAATTGGGGCCAAAATTCAAATTTATCACTTAAAAATAGTTTTTGACCATCTACCATATCCATGGCATAGGTACTTAAGTAAAACAAACAAAATTATATCTTTTTAGAAAATTTCTATTTGGTTCTGTCACAACACAGTGCCTACATTCTTACCACTGAAGTATGTATGCAAGTAAGACATGTTTCAATAAAAACATAGAAAGTGTTTAACAGATATTGGATTTATTTTCATTAAACAAATAATAGATATGACTTGGTGTTTTCAAATTATTTACATTTGTTGCAATAAAAAATAAATAAATGGGAAATGTCATAGATTTAAATCTTAGTTGTACTTAAAGCCTCTGCAATAATTCACTTTGTAACCATTCTATATATTTATTAATGAAGTATTAAAAAATAATTACACTATATTATATATGTACTGCTCTATGTATTACTGATAATGCTGTATTAGTGACCTTACTAATGCTGTTTATCTTTCAGCTCTCTAATAGTATATTTTCCATTCAAAACCAAAATTATAATTACTTGGGTAAATATTATCATTTATAGGCAAATAATAAGAATTTGAAGAAAATCAAAACAGAATTGATCCAGTCAAGCCCAGGCAATGAGACCCAATCACAGATTCGTGTATAAACTTTTGCCTGAAGAATAGCCTTGTTTTGTTTTCTCCTTGTATCTAATCTTAAAAGTGTTTCAATGAAGATTTGAATATTAAAAATTCATTATAAAAATAACATCTCATCACACTGTGTTTGGTTTATTCAAAAAATTATAAAGTTATTAACTTCAGCTTCCTAATTAGAATAATCCAATTTTAATCTACTGGCATTTTTGGAGATGAAGGGATTGGTGGTGCATTATTCTAAAAGTTAAATCTCATTAATATTTCATTGCATCCATATTCACAGGTATTAATTAGAAGTGTTTTATGAGTCGCAGCTATTATTAGAAAATCAGGTATGATTTTACAATTAGCATAAAATGAACTGTAATTTTGAATAATCACTGATAGTGATCATTGAGTAGACCTTGTGAGATTATTAAACTTGTTGATCCATATAATAATTTATATGTAGACTGCATATCAACATTATAGTGATATTTTTGAGACAATTAAAAATAATATTCCTTTCAGCCAAGTATGAACATGTGTTCCATTGTTGTTTTGACTATGAATAAAAAACCTTTTCCGTTGAATATATTTTTAAAGCAGTAGTAGAAAATAATGTGTACTAGCTATGAAACTGAATAAAGCACATCAAAATTATGATTTTATTGACTTTATATATTTCTATATGCTTATATCAAGATCTTTCAAATAAAAGACACATTTAGCTTTTAAAAACTAAAATTACTTTCAGATACATAAGACTTGCACTTTGCTCAAACACACACTAAGTGGTTTAATCAAGTCTAAATAATGGACAGTTACTAGAAATTCCCAAAAAACAAAATTGACACAGTGATATATAAGTTAAGTTCTACTGAAGAGAAAGCTTTCGAATAATCTCTATCCATTTTTTCTGGCTTTCATAATAAAATTTGGACATACCAAAGTGATTTGAAAAAAAAATTTAAAAGTGGCCACTAGATTCAAGGGAAACTATTTTAAGAGAAAACTTGTTGAGGGAGGGTCCTCTTATACCTTATGTAAGAAAGCCCAGTATCTGAATTAACCATAAGAACTGCTGAAAAACCTCCCCCTAAATGGGTAGATGGGTTCAGTGAAAAACAAACATGCACAAACACACACGTGCATACATACATGCACACACACATATGTTATATTTATATGACTTTAATATCATGCTTAGAGTATCTGTATCCTCAATTTAATAGAATATTGAAAATAAGAATCCAAAATAGTATTTAATAATCAACTATTTATTCTTAAGATGAAAATATTCATAGTCCCTAAAAGATGATTAAATGTCTATATCAATAGACTATTAATGTGAATTATACATTTTGTAATTTTCATATTAGATGATAATAAGACAAACATAATATGCCTGTGATTTCCTTTATGATAGAAAAATAAATGTGATGATTCAATAATCATAAATATGTTCATATATATTGGAGTCTACATAAAGCATTTTATATTTGTAAACTTGAATGAAACCTATTATTATGTACTAAATATAAGCTAATATCATCATAATGAAGGTTAAAGTTTAGAGATAACTAAAAACAACAGTATAGTATATTCTATAGGTCAATGTCTAATGTATCAATTATACATATTACATTTACCACTCTTGGTTATAAATACTAAATATCTCTTAGTCAACCAGACTCCATTTGATGTGTAATAATTTTGCTTCAAGAAGAAGAAAGGGTAAAAAAGGAACAGGTAATATGTGTTCTTCATTCATTTAATACATATAACTGACAATTTCAGGAATATGCTGTAATTTACTCTATATAAATCTTGCATTTCCTTTGGCTCATCCATGGGAGCAAATCAATATGTATTCCTAATACATCTTAAGAGTATATTAGACAGAAAATTTTTGCTTATTGGCAAGCTAAATCCACTACATATTCGCTATTAAAGTTTCCTGTCCTTAAAACTGTCCCCTCAGGATTTAATTTAAAAGCCTGGGATTCACTGAATATGAAGTATATTTTTCCAAATTTATAATTAAACAATAAAGTTTTGAGTCACCTGTCTTTTTTCAGTTTAAAATTCTAGTAGCTTCTTTATCAATGTCACAGAAACTCTCAGAAGTAGAAAATCAACAAGATAAGCAGTTTCATGGTAGTGAAAAAAATATGCTTTGACTTTACAAAAAAAAAAAAAAAAAATTGGGTTTGCCTAGAAAAGATCCCAACACTTTAATTCCACAGATTACTTCACCCATTAAGTTAGCATTTCCTCTTCACCTATATGGCTAATATTAAAGGGCTGTGTATGACCCCACAACTTAAGTCTTGTGAGAGCATCGATTTGTGTCTTTTCTTTCTCTCTCTCTCTTCTATACACAGGCTCCAAGAAAGTGCCGAAACTTAGAAGTTTTTGATAAATAACTGTTAAGTGAATAAATGGCAAACTTTGTCATTTATATGTTTATTTAAATCTCTAGTCTCAAAATTGATAAGAGAAGTTGAAGGTGGTGTAGGACATTAGAGTTCCTTTATTTAAGTGAAGGGGGCAAAGGAGGAGTATTCTTAGGAAACAAATAAATCAAAAATATTACTTGAACGAAAAAGCAAGGGAAAGGAATAAGATGCCTTTGTCAATCACACACAGCCACTTTAACCTTTCACAATTTGCTTGCATTACATGAATCTTCAAGGTTAAATGCAAGACAAATGTGAACTGATATTTCTGCAAGGGTCAGGTAGGTACCAGTTGCAAATCGTTATGATTGCAAAGTGGTTCTTCAACATGAGAATTTCCAAACTGCAAGAATATGCCTGCAGGCTTTAGTTTGGGAAACACTGATTAAAGGAGTAATAAAAATATCACCTTTGAAATTGTTTCCCAGTTTCTAAACTCCCTAAGATAAGTTTTGTTTTTATAATTGCTCATAGAAATTAACATCGGTACAATGGCAGACAGGAGCTGCTTGTTGTCTTTTTGCCATTAGGAGGGTGCTGCACATGCTGGAGATCCCAAGAACTTTAATTTGAGAAACAGTGGTCAAGTGAACTAGGTGGGATAATATCTGTATTCATTCAACAAATGTAAAATGAACATTTATAATAAGCTAGGCATGGTTTTTGGTGCTGGATATACAGAAGTGAACCAGACAGACATAATAAGTTCATCTCTTATACAGTTTGCATTCGAATGGTACTTCAAATATTGCATTTGCTCAATATATCTTATAGAATGAATGAATAAAAGCTATATGACTAAGAATATAAGAAAAGACAGGACAGAAAAAATTAGGATGAATATATTGTTTGTAAAAACACGATGGCACTATGGATTGTATGTGAACTTCAGCTTGTGAATTTCTGCTATAATTGATTTTCCTATTCAATATAATAGAATGATAAGACCATGTAATGGAGCTGGAAGTTTCATTAGTCCAGGCAGCCATCAAACGCTTAATCTTTCCAGACTCCACACAAAGGAATTTGTAGTACTCACGACCTCTTGAGGTAGCCCATTCCATTTCTAATCCATTGAAATTTTTAGGTATTTCAAGTCAATTCATTATAATGCCTCCTCAAGTCATTATCTACCAGTTCAAAGAATCTTGTACGGACTCCTAACCAAGAATCCTAATCACTTTTAATTTCTTTGATGATTGTATAATTCAACTTGGTTTCAACTTTTTTCATCATCTTCTTGTTTAACTCTGAAGGTATTCCATTTAGAAAGTGTGACAAGCAGAGCACTCCACAAACCCCAGCAGAGTCATCAGGACAGCTAAGAGGAATTCACCACATCCATCTTTCTAAATATTAATGCATCCTAAAATTGATTAGTTTTACTTGGCAACCTCGTAAAACTATTGACTTACATTAAGCTTATGCTGATTACTAAATTTTAACAGTTTATTTAGTTGTTATTTTGTGTTACTTAAATGTGTCTCTCAGTTTTAGAGTTGTCAATGTTATGCCCTTGGATTTGATACTTCATTCTAGCTTGGGATACTCATATTAGTCATGACTTCAATTTTCAGCTTATCTACAAACTGAGTAACAGTATCTTCTTTTATTTTAATTCAAGATATTGGATAATTTTCATCAGGCCAGGGCAAAGACAAAGCCCTGTAAGAAGAACTAGCAATCTCACGCTAAGATCATAATTCTTGAACACAGCCAGTTATTGTCCCAAAAAGGGAAAATCTTTAGCATAGTTCTTTATCTTTTTCAAGTAGATTGCATAAAATATATATCAGCAAATCTCTAATGCTAAATATTTTCAGTTCTTTCTAATCCAATCAGCAACTCTATATTCCATATTTTCAGTATTTAATGAGTAAGTTACCAAATAATTTGGGCCATTTTTGTCTAGGTAGAGATTGATGTCAACATTACTATGACTAATGTAAGCAACAGCAACAATATTAATTCCAGCAGGCACAGAAAAAAATCCACTGCCTAGTTATAAGACAGAATTTTAAGACAATTCAAATATAGTCTGTATTCTGGGCACTTTCAACTCTTAAATAGAGAGCTTAACTTTCCTGATTTTTCTAAGGAGTTTACTGAGAATCTCTCCCTAGATTTCAATCAAAAGTCATAGCATATCCTACATTTTATTTTGTAAGTGACTCTGAGGAAATGGAACTGCTTTCTTGTATGATTTTTGGAAATCGCATAGCTCTGTATTGCATCACGATGATTTCAATGTTTCAAAGTGCATTCACATGCTGTTCAATTTGATCTTCAGAATAATTCTATAAGGTGGATAGGAAAGTATTATTATCTCAATTTTATAAACTGATGCAGGGTAAAATAAAATATGTAGCATCTCTAGGACTCAGCTCACTTTAATATAGCTAGGTCCCTAATTTGCAGCCAGATTATTACCTGAATTGTACATATCACAGAAATGAGACAGATGGCGGCAACCCTCACAAAATTAATTTTAGATAATATTTTATTTATCTAATTACCTTCCCATTCCCCTGAGAGTTGAATTATTTTATCTGACACAGACTTCCTTTATGTTTTCATATAATGGTATTACTGTCCTTTTACATTCCACCTCTATCCTAATCCTACTTCCATTCTCTGATTAATATGCTCTTCTCTTTCTTGTCTTGCATTAAAAGAAAAAGGTTATTATAAGAATCTGAAGGTAAAAAATGTTATATCCTTGTTATACCCCTGGGGCATATTTTAAAATAAAGGCCTATTATAAATAAATATTATATGTTACGTGTCAGTGTGATTCTTCAAGCTCAACAAATGAATCCAATTCATATTAACATGACCTGCTGCCAACTATGAATATTACAGCTTCCTGTGTCTAACACTGTCTCAATCAAATGTTACTGGGTGAAAACATTTAATTTATAAATACAAATATAGCAAAACAGTAATGAGATTGGGATCAGAAAACCTAAATTCTTTTTTTTTTTTTTTTTTTTTCACCCCTCTCCTACGTTTATTATTATTATACTTTAAGTTGATTAGTGTACATGTGCATAACGGTTGCAGGTTTTGTCTCTATTTGTATACTTGTGCATGTTGCTGTGCTGCCACCCCATCAACTTCGGTATTTAATCAGGATATAGGGGTCCAAGGCCAATCCTCCCCCCCGCTCCCCTTTCCCATGATAGGGACCGGTGTGCCGATGTCCCTTCCTGGAGTCCAAGTGATCTCATTGTTCGAGTTTCCCACCGTATGGAGTGGAACATGCCAAGGGTGCTCTTCCGCATTTCTGTTCTTGTGATAGATTGCTAAGAATGATGGTTTCCAGCTGCATCCAGTTGTCCGTACAAAAGGACACAAACTCATTCCGTTGTTTTTATGGGGCTGCATTAGTATTCATGATGTATGTGTGCCATTTTCTTAATCCAATTCGTCACTGATGGACATTTGGGTTGATTCCAAGTCTTGCTATTGTGAATAGTCTGCAATAAAGCATACTGTGCATGTTCTTTATAGCGCATAATTTATAGATCCTTTGCGGTATATACCCACGTAATCGGGATGCTGGGGTTCATATGGATACATCTAGTTCTGATTGAGGAATGCATACTGTTTCATAATGTTGAACTAGTTACAATCCACCAACCAGTGTAAAAGTGTTCCTATTTCTGCCACATACTCACCAGCACCTGTTGTTTCCTGACTTTTAATCTGATCGCCATTCGTAACTGGGTGAGATGGCATCTCATTTGTGGTTGTTGATTTGCATTTCTCTGATGGGCCAGTGATGGTGCAGTTTTTTCTGTTGTCTGTTGCTGTATGATGTCTCTCTTGAGAAATGTCTGTATCCTATCCTGTTGCCCACTTTTGAATGGGGCTGTTGTTTGTTTTTCTTGTAAATTGTTTGAGTTTGTTAGGTTCTGGATATTACCCTTTGTCCATGATGAGTAGATGCAAAATTTGTCTCCATTCTGTAGGCCGTCTCGTGATAGTATTTCTTTTGCGTGCAAAAGCTCTTTTAGTTTAATTGAGATCCGATTTGTCCAAATTTCGCTGTTGCTGCTGCTTGGCTTTTGGGTTTTTAGACTGAAGTCTTTGCCCATGACCATGTCCTGAGATGGTATAACCTAGGCTTTCGCCGTCTAGTTTTTATGGTATTAGCTCTAAGATGCTGAAGTCTCTAATCCATCGTTGACAGTTTTTCGTATAAGGGAGTAGAGGAAGGATCCAGTTTCAGGCTTTCAATTATGGCTAGCCAATTTCCAGGCACCATTTTAATAGGGAATCCTTTCCCCATTCTTGTTTCTCTCAGGTTTGTCAAAGATTTCAATGGCTGTAGATGCTGTGGTATTATTTCTGAGGACTCTTTTGTTCATTGGTTTTCATTTTGGTATCTCTGTTATTGGATACCAGTACCATGGCTGTTATTGGTATAGTACCTTGTTAGATAGTTTGAAGTCAGGTAGCGTGATGCCTCCAGCTTTGTTCTTTTGACTTAGGATTGTCTTGGAGATGCGGGCTCTTTTTTGGTTTCATATGAACTTTAAAGCAGCAGAAAACCTAAATTCTGATCATTGTGTATCCTTTTATTAGTCATGCCATTTATCCACAGGCCTTAATTTTCTTATTCATTAAATATGCACAGTAAAAATATTTTCTATACCTTTTGAAGTGTTTTAAAAAGACTATGTGTATAATGCTAACTATAAAATATGTAAAATAAGATATCATCATATTAATAATAATATTAAAAAATCAGAACAATCTAAATTAAGGAATTATTTTTAAATAGTCAAACTTCTGCAGACCAGGCAATTACTTTTATCTATTCTTCAGCTCAACAACCTGTATCTTACACTTTGCCCAACCACATAGCCTCATGCAAAGTGAATTCTCCAAAGAAAATTTTAGCAAGCACAGAATTGGCATATTTCTTCTTGTTCTCCAGTTAATATTCAGGTGATTTAAATGCTAAAGGCAAATGAAACAAACAATCCTACTTTGGAAATAAGAGTTATAGAAGTAAGGTAGCTGATTTCACAATTGAATGTGGCTAAACCTCACATTCAGTTGGTGAAATTGGTTAAATATTTCAAGGAACTAAATATGCTTATTAAGCAGATAAAGAATGGAGGGAGTGAAGCAAATAAAAGATGGTGTCCGAAAAGTTATTTTTAAAATACTTTAGGCCTGGCACAGTGGCTCATGTCAAAAATCCTAACACTTCTGGAAGCTGAGGCAAGAAGAATGCTGGATGCCAGGAGTTTGAGGCTGCAGTGAGCTATGATCCCACCACTGCACCCCAAGCTGGGTGACAGAGCCAAACTCCATCTCAAAAATAAGTAATTAAATTAAATTAAATACTTCAGTGTCAAATGAGTTAATTACCTCTAATGTTTATAAACATCTTAATGTTTATAATTTTAAGATACTTGTTATTGTTTTTTCAAACTTGATGTTCTACTTTGAAATAGCAGCACAGTATGGGAAGAAGGGTTCAATTTAAGAAATTTGATTTTGAAGTTGAATGAGGATACTCAATTTAAAGGCATTAAGCCATACCTCTGAAGTATTTACGAATCAGAGTTTGAAAACAGAATTATTACTTCCTTTGAACCACTTTTAATTTTCATTATACCAAATAAAGAGATTCTACAAGATCTACATTTTTCAAATAATGGAAGTGAGCAGAGACTGAGACATGCCAACAGAGTTTTTTCTTTTTTAGTTTTCTGTTTTCAAGTCATCATTCAAAAACAACCATAATCACAGTGCTTTATTGAGCTTAGAAGGACACAGCCTCAGGGAACAAAAGGACCACACTAATTTTCTGCATATGCTAGTTGGGTGGGAAGTTCAACTCAAGTTTTAATGATCAATGATACCATGTTAACACACTTTCGAAAAGCGGAGTTTAGATTCGGGTGTGATTCCAAACATGCACCTGCCATCCTCAAAGTAGAGAATTCAGGTTCAGAATAATCACAAGTTCTAAATTACACACAGTGTGTTGTGAAGTATCATTATTATTTTTAGAAAGTGAAAAAATATCTATGACAGAACCTATTTAATGTGTTGTCAGCCTCCACAAGATGTGGCTAAAAACAGCTTCCCAGTAATATTTTGAAGGGTCAAAAGCAATGATCTTGTCATGTTTCTGTGATCCTGGTAAAACACCTGGGTCAGATACTAGTGAAGATTAATAAGGTAATTATAAAGGAATCAGAAATGTTATTGTAGCAAAGCAGATATAGCAAAAACAGCACCTCTTAATACTATTGGTATTGTCCTCAATTTTTTTCCCAATCCTTGATTATGAGGACCACAATAAATACATTTTACAGAATAAAATTTGCTATTATTAAGAATAGCAGAGACTATTTAAAAAGCAGTAGACTTATTCTCAATCACATCTTTGAAAATCACCTTTGAACAGGATGTTCAATGTGCATATGAGAGCTGTGGGAGAATAAAAAGCATGACCCAATATAACATTGTTATTGTTGTACCTGTGTCCATTGACAGTTGAGAAACTAAGTGATTAGAAAAGAAAAAGCCTAGAAAAATCTAAACTCATTGGACCTTCCTTTATCTGGCTTGATCTATAATTACATGCTTTGAAACTCTCTAGGTATGCAATTTTTTAAAACCCTTTAAGTAGGGGTTCAACTTTCAATTTAGATCATGTTTCAGAAATGCCTAAAGAGATGGACGGACCTAATTATAACAGGGGACCCAAGGAAGCAGTCCTAGGAAAGCATCTGCATTCTGTGGGTCTGTGCAGCAAGTTTGTCAACAGAATGCCTGGCTGAAGGTCATCTTTCCAACCCAGAGTCCTATGCAGAAAGAAACTTAACAGCAAAGTTTTAGACTCTTACTTGAAGTCTGCTTGTAGTATGACATCACTTGCATACTTATTAAAATAGTTTTGCCACTTCTCTTTTCATCTAACTTATTGTTATTGAAAAACTAGGTAAGATATTTCCCATTTAGCCATTCATCCAGAAAACATTTATTGATGCCTACTAAGGGCTATGTTAAAGGGCACATAATTGGTCAGACATACCATGTTGCATCTCAATTTAGCTCATTATTTCTGATGGCCTCCTTTGTTTTCTTCCATTTGGCAGGCTCTTCTCCCATACATGCCTGAACTACCTCCTCTGCAAAGGTACTCCTGAGGCACCAAGGAAAAATTCACTCTTCTTTCTTATATGCTACTATGATAAATTTCAGTGCTTCTATTTTTGTCTTTACATCATTTTATTAAAATTATTTCTTTAAAAGTCTTAATGGAGAGTTTTCACTATTCAAGTTTATTGAAGCATATGCAGTATCTCATCCACATTTCTATCCCAAGAAGCTAACAAAGTTCTGTTCACTTTAAAGCCCCCGAGAAATGATTCAGGAATGAATGAAAGACTTTCCATCTTCAGTGGGAATTGGGTGACAGTTAGCTCCCAGACACAATTTTGAAGAGATCTACCAGCTCTTAGTCTGAACACCATCATTTCTGACAAGTGGTGATGATTCTCTCAAAATGGAAGAATCTCTCTCACATTCTACTGGAGATTTGAATGTGTTCTCCTTAAAGTTAGCATCTTCTTTGTCTTTTTTCCTCAGAACCAAAAGGTCTTTGGTAAACTTCATATTTAGCCACAGCGATTATAGCCCCCTCCCCGCCACATACCCACGGTTTTGGAGAAAAATAAGTTTGTTTATCTTGGAGTCTAAGACAGAATCTAAACTTCCAGCAAGGCCATAGCTTATGTAACAGCATTACTCATTTACTTTTTTAAATTAGAGTATCTTTAGTCTTTGATTAGGGGTTGGAATACAAGTGAGCCTCTAAAGGAACTAACTTCCTTTCCAGGTCCTGAAACTTCTCTAGGATAGAAAAACTTCAACTTTGTACCCAGTGACATTTTAGTTAAAGATAATTTAAGATTCTATGGATTCCTGTTATATATATGCAAAACAAAGTAAAGGTGTCCTTTCCAAAAATATTCACTTTTATTCCATATTGTTTCAATAGTTGTTAAAAGAGATATTCCAAGAGCCTTTATTTTTTTTCTTCTCTATTGCAAATGAATTTAAATGTTTGCTTCATTGTAGCATTCCAAATACACAAAACTCCAGTGGCTATGGGTTTTATTCCTTTCAGTGAATAGTTATCACACTTCAAAGACTGCTTTGGATTTTAAGTTAGGGTGACCTGTTTTCATTATATTCAAACAGGCTTTGACCCATTTGTCCATCAGGCATAGCAGATGACAAACAGCTATGTCTAGCTGTCCTGCCATCTAAATTAACCTAGAATTCTTTGAAGATGATAATTTGTTCTGTGAGTACCCTACATGTACATGTTATCCACACAAATTTCATTATTTCAAGTGTTGTCTTCTTATGTATCTTTTTTGTGGGGAGACTAATATTCCAATATAAAACTGTCTCCTGTTTTCGGGGGAAAAAAAAAGAACTCTTACACAATCAACATGAGAATTTTACCAAAAATAATTGTCCTCAAGTCTAATTGATAAAAAGGCCCTATGATGTTAGATTTATACAACTGTATTGGCAATGACCAAATCTAGTATAAAACATATAATTATTGAGTTACTTACATTTTTAGTGTAAACTGGAATAACAAGCTCATATTGACTTTACAAACCTCTCATACTAGTGTCTGACTTCCAAGATATTCATAGGTCAAATACAGTGTCTCACTCCTGTAGTCACAACATTTTGGGAGGCCAAGGTGGGAGGATCGCTTGAGCCCAGGAGTTGGAGACCAACCTGGGCAACATGGTGAGACCCCATCTCTACAAAAAGTTTTAAAAATTAGTTGGGCATGGTGGCACACACCTGTGGTCCCAGCGACTTGAGAGGCTGAGGCGAGAAGATTGCTTGAGCCTCTGGAGTGTCGAGGCTTCAGTGAGCTATAACCACACTACTGTACTCTAATAAAGACCCTGTGACTATATGACTATATATATGACTATATACATATGTGTGCGACTATATATGTGACTCTCGCTCTCTCTCTCTCTCTCTCTCTCTATATATATATATAGGAATATTTATTTAGGAATATTTTCTTAAAGGCAGACTGAGAGTGAATTATGAGTCACACTAACACAGAGCATAATCAGCCTAACTCCCCGATCAAACACCCTGAGTTTCACATTACCAAAGAGAGAGGTTTGAACGTGAGGGAAACATATTATTCTCACTATACTGTGATGGAAAGAAATTAATTCTGGTTGTGCAAACCTAGAGGATTTCTCTGAATTCTCTGAATTAGTGTGGATTGTTAAGGCCAGGACAGACTGTGTATAATAACCTTGATGCTGGGAAAAGACTATGCTGTAAGTCTTTAAACAGATCCTAGTTGATGATTATGCCAACCCTGCTGAAGAAATTCTGAAAAGATGCAGAATGCCTTGAAATACAAATGCTTTTTCTGGCCCAGATATTTGATATTGCATGAGAACATTCCATGGGATTTGAACCCACCTCTTTCACACTTTAGATTTCAGGCTAGTATAATTCCCTCACCACACAACGCAGAACTGAAATCCCTGAAGTTCAACAGGATGTATCCAATTTCAACAACTTTACAATTTTCAATATCTGTACAGGATTTCTGCAAAAACCCATTTCAAATATCTCATTATCAATACCACGCATCTTTGTGAATACCAAAATATATTAGCTAGACAGTCATCTTATTTTAGCTTTAGAATGTACATCAGATTTTTTTTCCAGACACAAGCAATTAAAGGATTGGAAAATAGCTCATGGAAAGCTGCAAAGAATTGATCCTCAGAGAGTAAATCTTGTAACACCAAACAATCCCAATTCCCCTTGGCCACTCTGCTGGCAAAAGTTATTGCTAGTTATGCAAGGCAACTAGAAGAAATGTACACAAATAATTAAAATTAAATATCCTGCCCACCGTATAACTGATACTTGCTGAGAAGACGGTTGGCAGAATTTTCTTACTAATCCGGTGTTATTAATGTTCATACTGCAGAGCATCCTTGAAGGTGCTCCTCTATTCATTTTGTATTGGATACATCTATTTGTATTGTTGTATAGTTATCTGTGCTGTGTGTCTTACCCAGTCTCATCCAGTTATTTTACTTTAGAATCTCATGGGCTTTGTACCCTGAAGTCAAACAACCTGTTGCAAATAAACAACAAAGAACCGAATCTCTCTTATCTGTTTG